CATGTTGTTCAGGCTGGTCTCAAACTCCCAACCTCAAGTGATCTGCCCACCTCAGTCTCCCAAAGTGCTGGGATTACAGGTGTGAGCCAATGAGCCTGGCCCTCATTTGTGTTTCAAAGAACTCAGTAAGGGTGGAAGGGACAGGGAAAGAGATTGAATTTATAGCTGGCTAATGAGCCCGGAGAGATCAGATAATATTGCTATTGTTATGACTGTTATTACTACCACCGTTGGAATCTTCACTGAGTGCTTTACCAGGCACTATGCTAACAATCCCATTTAATCCTCACAACCACCAGGAGACGGTTACTATTACTACCTCTATCGTGTAGATGAAAAACATGGGGTATTAAAGGTTAAGTGCTTGCCTAAGATCACTGAGACAGAGCTGGGATTTCAACCCCCAGGTTTCTCTGATTCTCTAAGCCCATTCTTTCCTGGCGGTGGGGGCACAGATAAGAAGGAGGAAATTAATCTTGTTGACGTTTTGAAAGGACAATATGTTAATATAGTCCAAAACTCAGAAGGTACAAAAGGGAAATATCTCCCACTCACACTGATATCTCCCTCTCCTCAGTTTTTAATGAATCCTTACAAACATGTTTTATGTATCTTACCATGATACACACACACACAAACACGTGTTCCCTCTCTCTACACAAATGGTAACATACTAAAGACACTCTTCCGCACCTTCATGGTACAAGTACCCTAACCCCCACCTAGGATTTGGCTAAGGCCACAGCCAGGTAAGGGCAGGACAGGCACTTGGCCTCTGAGCTCTGTGTCCTGTGCTCACCCCCTACAGCAGCCCCAACTCACCCACAGCCTGCCTCTAACAACCACACACAAAAGCACCAAGAAATGGCCCGTGGTGCCTTCTGGGAAGGACGTTCCATCCTGCAGAAGGGCCCTTTAGACTCACTCCTCCATCTGGGAAGCTGGGTTGCCAGGGGACGGGGCAGGTGGTTGGACTCACCCTGTCTGCCGCCTTTTTCTGTGTGGAGACATCAGAGCCTGCCTCAAGTCCTCCACGTGTTGGGAGGCATGTTGCAGGAGTTTGGAGAGGTAACTGCCATCTCCTGGAAGGAGAGTGGTTGAGAGGAGGCCCAAGGGACTCCCCCTAAAAGCCTGTCCAAGCGCCAGGTTGAAGGATGATGGGGTGCCCAGATTCCCTCCTTCTAGCTGCCTGGCCACACTCTCCGTGAAATACAGTTCTCTTTCCAGGACACCGATGGTGTGAGCCTGAGCCTGTGGGAGAAAAGCCAAGCACGTGTTGAAAGAGATGCAAAGAAACCTTCTCCAGAGGACGAGTGGGAGCTCCACACCCTCCACTCACCTCTACCTGCCTCCTGAGCGCTGCCTGATGGTGGTGGCTTGGCTTGTTTTCCTACAGAAAGAGGAAGACAGAGCTCTTACTAGGGGGTGACAGAGATGGCACAGGGAGACATGCCCCCAGAATGCCACCAATGCCCCAGGACAGGACCACCCATGGGAACAGGTTATTGGGGACTCTCTGGGATAGGGTGGAATCTGGGGGGGTGAGTCTTCTTCCCCAGGATGGGAGTGGGCGAGACAAGACTGGGGCCTCTATGTCTCAGTGCCCCCCAAACGCAGCAGTCATGTCATGAAGAAATCACGTTATTTCATCCAGCTGAGCTCGGTTCTGTTGTTTCCATGGGGAGAGTCAAAGGAAGGTGACTCAACTCTATTCCCCAGGCCAGGAAGCAGGAGGCAGGGGCCCGGAGTGGAGTTTAAAGTCAAAGTTCTCAGACCCAATGGGAACATAAACTAGTAAACTCCCCTCAAGCTCCCAAAGAAAGAGGATTTGGGTCTTTGTTGGTTTTCACCCAGAGCCACAGAACTGAAAGTCTGAAACTAGATTCTCTCCAAAGGACAGTCACATCAATCTTCAGAGATGGAGTGTGAGAAAAGCCCACCCTTCTGCCAGCTTGTCATTTACAAAGGTACATTCATTCAACAAACATTGAGCACATACGGGCCAGCTACACTTCTTCACAGTGGGGATATGGGATGGAAAAGGCAGACAGGAGCCCTTGGCCCCAAGGTTTCCACTCTCGCTGGCCTTGAAATCTTGGACTCTCAGAGCTAACAGAAACCTGTGATACTCTCTAACTCCACCTCCTCAGGAAACACAAGCCCAAGGAGGAGAGGTGTTCACAGCAGGCCCTGTACTAGGGATTAACATAAAAACAAGAGCAGATCTCATTGAAACTTCACAAAGGTAAGTAAAATAATACCACCCCTATTTTACAGATGTGAAAACAGAGGCCCATAGAGCTCAAGCAATTTGCCCTAAATCATATCCCTAGCAGATCTAGCAATAGGCTTTAAACCCAGGATTCTTAACCAGTACCCGGCAGTTATTTCACAATCTTCACAGTTACCCTCTACTGTCCCTTGGGCCCTCTGTCCGCTGGAGCCTGGCCAGCCAAGACTCACATCGTCAGGTGAGTGGCAGCCAGCAGAAGTGGTCTCAGGGTCACTGCCATTATTTGCCTGTTGGCGTCAGGTATTCCTGTAGCAACACCAGGGCTGTTGTACTGATGACAAGATACTCTCTCAGCTGTGAAAAGAAGAGCAGTGATACTCATGAGAACTACAAGCCCCTACGGTCACATCCTACTTCACAGTTTTTTTTTTTCTTGAAACAGAGTCTCACTCTTTCACCAGGCTGGTGCGCAGTGGTGCGATCTTGGCTCACTGCAACCTCCACCCCCGGATTCAAGTGATTCTCCTGCCTCAGCCTCCTGAGTAGCTGGGACTACAGGTGTGTGCCACTGCACCTAGCTAATTTTTGTTTTTCGCAGACATCGGGTTTCATCATGTTGGCCTCGATCTCTTGACCTCATGATCTGCCTACCTTGGCCACCCAAAGTGCTGGGATTACAGGTGTGAGCCACCGCGTCCGGCCCCTACTTCACAGGTTTTACAAAATAATCTTATAGAGCACCTGATTTAATGCCACCAACAACTGTATGAAGTGTTGTCTCAATCAGTGACTGAGAGGGACTGATCCCGTGGCTAAAACCAAGGCAATAATGGAACTTAAACTCAGTCTTCTGACTCCGACCTCTGGCATTTTGCCGCAAATCAGCAGCTGCCACAAACCAAAACCAGAGGCAGAGGTAGAAACGCAAAATATGACGTAGGCAGGAACGGTACACTGTGTGGTTTAGAGTCATACACCCTCACACGTCTGTTAGTGTTAAGAAGGGCACCGGTACCTCTCCAACTTTTACGTCACTGTATCCTCATGGCAGAAGGCAGCCTTTCTGTTAAATCTGAGAATTTAACAGAAGAAGACAACCCAAGCCTCATTTCAGAGCGAAGTCTGGTATACTCTTAGAAATCTATGTGACCCTCATCCCTAAGTCCATTAATGTGTCTCTCAAGAGAATCAAGGGAAACTGATGCTTCAGAAAGATGCCCCATATTTACCCTGTGGCACTCAAAGTATCCCAGGTTGAGATGAGATGAGGAAGATTCAAGCTGTCAACTTCAGTTTCCCAAGATCTATTCACAGAATAGAAGCAGATCTCACTCCAGAAACCACTGACTGAAGGGCACTCTGGCCCCAGAACCATGGATAATTCAAATATGAGGTGAAGAACTCAGAAAAAACGTTAAAGTCTCTCTGGAGAGTAGAAGCCTAGGAGAAAACCAAACCAAACCAGTTCTCCCATTGCCACTCAGGGACAGTGTCAACATTTTGAGCTCATGGGGGAGGTGTAGGCTTTTCACACTGTCAATGTCTGTGTTAAAAGAGTAAGGCAGCCTGTAACCTTCTTCACTCCTAGGTCCAACGATCCCCATTTCTCTTTCAGCTGAAAATCTGTGCTGCAACCAGAGGAACCAGAAATAGGGCCAGAACACTGGGTCTTACATCACAGGCCGGTCTAGCGGCAGTAATGACAGTTCCTAGGGGCACTGTGACATCACTACATCCCACTCCTCTGTGGGGTGGTGGAGACACATCAGTGGGATGCCCGAGTTGCCACTTTGAGATGGAGGTGGTGCAGGGCCAAGAGCCAAGTCCTTGGAGACACGAGCCCAAACAGCCCAGGGAACTCAGGCATGGGGCAGCAGGAGGTGAGGGCCAAGTATAGAGTGGGGAGCCCCAGGAGTCACCTGCCCAAAGTCACCCTAGGGAAACTGGTGAAGGCAGGCATTGGGGCACCCAGGTCCTTGGAGATGCCAGTCTGAAGAGCCCAGGGAGGTTGACCCTGGGGCAGCAGGAGGCGAGGGCAGAGTATGGAGTGAGGAGCCCCGGGAGTCACCGGCTCAAAATCACCCTGGGGCAACTGGCGAGAGCAGGGGCAGGACTGCTAATGGGTTGAGGCTGGCTGACAAGATTTTGGTGCAAAGAGCCCAGAGGCACTGGAGGGCCAGCCCGGTGCAGCTCAGGAGTGGCAAAGACTCTGGCAGCAGTCCTGCTGTCACGGGGGAACTGGGGTTGGGTTAGGGGTCCACCACCTGGTGTGTTTTACCTTTTCCTTGGTCCATTTGTGCTCTCTGGTTGCTTTGGACATCTCAGGGTGGTGAGGGAAATGGGGTCGGGGAGGGACATAGGGTTGGGGAGGGACGTGGGGGTCAGACAGGGACATGGGGTTGCGGAGGGACGCGGGCTACTGGACGGACGCGGGCTACGGGACGGACGCGGGGTAGGGGAGGGACATCGGGTAGGGGAGGGACGTCAGGTCGGGAAGGGACACGGGCTTGGGGAGGGACGTGGGCTTGGGGAGGGACGTAGGGTTGGGGAGGGACGTGGGCTTGGGGAGGGACGTAGGGTTGGGGAGGAAGGTAGGGTTGGGGAGGGAGGTAGGGTTGGGGAGGGACGTGGGCTTTGGGAGGGATGTAGGGTTGGGGAGGGAGGTAGGGTTGGGGAGGGACGTGGGCTTGGGGAGGGATGTAGGGTTGGGGAGGGATGTAGGGTTGGGGAGGGACGTGGGCTTGGGGAGGGACGTGGGCTTGGGGAGGGATGTGGGCTTGGGGAGGGAGGTAGAGTTGGGGAGGGAGGTAGAGTTGGGGAGGGACGTAGGGTTGGGGAGGGATGTAGACTTGGGGAGGGAGGTAGGCTTGGGGAGGGATGTAGGCTTGGGGAGAGAGGTAGGGTTGGGGCCACATCGTCGTGATACAGAAGAGGACAGTGAGATACGTCCTGTCACCTGCCACGCAGCTGTGTGACTGAGCCAGAGGCCTCGTAACCAGGACCTCACTAGAACCCAGAATAGGGGTGTGGCCTGAATGCTTCAAGCACATTGGTCAATGAGAAAGATAAAAGGGAATGGAGGCGTGGCCAGGCACTGGTGTGTCATGAGGGACCTGTGGTGTCACAATGAAGGCTGCCCATGCACCAGCTGTCCCCGCCCACTCCAGGAGAGGGGCAGGACTGGGCTTCACTTGAGAAACTTTAAAACTTTATTACCTCAAATCTATATTATGCTTGACGATGACCAGACTGTATTATCCAACATTCCAATGAGATGAAATAATCACAATGATTTTTTTTTTTTTTTTTTTTGGAAAAGTTTCTTTTAGTCTCCTACAATTTTAAATATTTTTTTTTATAAAAAAAGATACACGTCTGCAGGGCCCGGTGGCTCATGTCTGTAATCCCAGCACTTCGGGAGGCCGAGGCGGGAGAATCATGAGGTCAAGAGATCGAGACCATTCTGGCCAACATGGTGAAACCCCGTCTCTACTAAAATACGAAAATTAGCTGGGTGTGGTGGCACACACCTGTAGTCCCAGCTACTCGGGAGGCTGAGGCAGGAGAAATTCCTGAACCCGGGAGGTGGAGGTTGCAGTGAGCTGAGATTGCGCCACTGAACCCCAGCCTGGGGCCTAGTGACAGAGCAAGACTCTGTCTCAAAAAAAAAAAAGAAACACGACCAACATCTTTAAAAACACAAAGCTTTTGAGCCGGGCATGGTGGCTCATGCCTATAATCCCAGCACTTTGGGAGGCTGAGGTGTGTGGATCACCTGAGGTCAGGAGTTCAAGACCAGCCTGGCCAATATGATGAAACCCTATCTCTACTAAAAATACAAAAACTAGCTGGGCATGGTGGCGGGAGCCTGTAATCCCAGTTGCTTGGGAGACTGAGGCAGGAGAATTGCTTGAACCCAGAAGTGGAGGTTGCAGTGAACCAAAATCGTGCCACTGCACTTCAGCCTGGGCAACAGAATGAGACTCTGTCTCAAAATAAATAAATAAATACACAAAGCTTTCCACTTAATAAGTATTCAAAGCTCTTTACCAGTTTAAAACAAATACAAGACCCTCCTAACGTAAGGCTGAATGCTAAGTGATGGGGGAGAGAAAAAGGACATAAATAACTCCTACTCTCATGTGGTTAATCACTAAATCCTATTTTTCTAGAATCATCTGGCCTCTCTAAGTCCTGTGAATAAACTGAATTTCTCACTTGATACTGGGCTATGACTTGCAATCGTGAAAACCTAGAACTGTGTTATGTCACTGTATATTGCTTGTTACCTGAATTCCACATTAGGCTGGGATCAAGGGTTGACTTTTTCATGATTTGCTCCATTACCTGTGTGCTTTTATCCCAGAACAAACTAAGCTTTTTTCTGGAGTTCTATAATTTACAGCTAGTATATAAGAGTGGTTCTCAAAAATGTAGACCAGCACCAGTAGCACCAGGGAACTTCTTATAAATGCACATTCTCAGGCTCCACCCTAGACCTGATGAATCGCAAACTCTAAAGTAGGGCCCAGAAATCTGTGCTGCAATAAGTCCTCTGGGTGTTCAGGAACTGCTGGCATACAGCAGGTAGAAAAAGGTGTTTCCTTCTGTAGGTCCAATGCCAGGGATACTGTATGTTCTGTCTCAGTATGAAACAATGGCATAAAATGAAAAGACAGAAATCTCCTTCCTACTCCCACCCTCTAGCCAGTGTGTTTTATTCGTATGAATAAAATAAGAAAATGAGTAGCAATCAGAGATTTCGTCTAAAAAGTATATTTACAGGTGTAAGTTCTCATCCAGCCTGATCTCACTGAATATCATTTACACCCTCTTACATCGAAAGTTTTAGGAAAGGATCTTGACAATGGAAGACACAGGCACACTGGGAGTTCTATCACAGAAGACCAAGTACATCTGAATGTCCAATCTTACTAGAGAAGAAAAGCAGAATATTTTCACGTTGCATTCAACAGGAAATTGAAGTTTTGAATTTTTATCACCATCATTCTTCCCAGTTAATAGAATTAAACCAGAATACTCCATTCTTCCAAAGCCTCTAGCCAGGTAAAGTTTTACTGTATTGCTTCCTGCTTTTCAATGGTTATAAAGCAGAGTCCTGGTAGGCACACTTTATGTACCTGCAAAGACCCAGAACTAAACAGTTCCATCTGTTCAATATTCAAACAAAAGTCCTGTAAACCTCAGATGGTGAGTGGAATACATCAGCACTAGCACTAAGACCTCAAATAGAAAAAGATACCAAGAACACCACTAGCAAACAGAAGTAAGCTCTCAGCTGGGAGTTATTATTAAATAGAAATACACCCCAAAAGACTGTAGAAAAATAACTTTGGTTTTCAACTGCAGTCACAGCAATTCACAACTGGTACAGATTTGCAACTTGTGTAGAATTCATTTGTCCTTCCAAGCCACTCAAGACTCACCTGTGGAACAAGGGCATTTGGAATACACTCCTTACTGGTTCACCAAGTTTTATGTGCTTTACTAATGGTCCATTAGGTTATTCCCAAGTGTCATTATTCCATACAATGCTGCAAAGGACAACTTTCTACAACTTTCCTTAGATCTATGTGCTTTTTTCCTGGAGTGAATCCTATGGATGGAATTGCTCGTAATAGTATTTGCACAATTCACATTTTTATTTTTACTAGATACTACCAAACGGCCATTTTTACATTTCTCCCAGCCATTTATAAGAGTACTTGTTTACTCAAAATCTTACCAGTGCTCCATACTATCCGACTTAGTTGTTTTCCAAGGTAATGGAGGGAAATGGTATTTTATTTTTTTGTTTTAACTTGAATTTCTATGATCACTTGGAAGGCTATCGAACACTCCAGTTTTTTCTTAACATTATTTGCCTGTCATGTCCCAGTTGCTAAGGCAGCCAGGAGGATGAGCACCTGGCAGAAACCGTTATTACCGTGTAAGGCAAGGGCTTCAGTGTTCACATGGTGGGGACTGCTGCATGTGATGTATCCAACCTCTTCCGATAACCAAATGCTTAATTCTAGACCCAGATTCCATTACTAATCAGCTTACATGGATAAAATAGGAAGGAAATGCTGATATTAAAGTATTGCTAGTATGGACGCAATGCAAGCAATTTGTTTTAAACCTAACATCATTGCTAGTGTTCGAATTGGATTTTAACAAGATACCGATACTAGCTATTTAAAAACTGCTTTTATAGTAACTCTCAAACCTGTACCTCATTTTAAAGCTGGAATACTGGAGACAGGTGTTTAAATATTATAACATGATTAGTTTGTATATACTTAGAAACTGCTGAGATCCATTGGAATAAAAACTACAAATGCAAGGCAAATGACATTCAATAAATGGAGCCTGGCTATAATCAACTAGCTTGTAACAGACACTTAAGGTTTCAACACTGGTTTTTGTTTTCTTTTCTTTTCTTTTTTCTGAGACAGAGTTTCGCTCTTGTTGCCCAGGCTGGAGTGCAATGGCATGGCCTTATCTCACCGCAACCTCCACCTCCCGGGTTCAAGCGGTTCTCCCGCCTCAGCCTCCCAAGTAGCTAGGATTACAGGCATACAGCTAGGATACCACCATGCCTGGCAATTTTTTTATTTTTAGTAGAGCTGGGGTTTCTTCATGTTGGTCAGGCTGGTCTCGAACTCCTGACAACAGGTGATCCACCCGCCTTGGCCCCGCAGAGTGCTGGGATTACAGACATGAGCCACTGGGCCCGGCCTTTTTTTTTTTGAGACAGGGTTTCACTCTGTCACCCAGGCTAGAGTACAGTGATGATGCAATCTTGGTTCACTGCAACCTAACACTGCTTTCTTACCTTGATCTCCTCTGGGGCCAGGTGAGCTGTATCACTAACACTCGCTGGGGCTGCTTCCTTCATGGTTATGGCTGACAGATTTCACACAACTTTAATCTCTGGTACAGGCTAGAAAAGAGAGAATACATTCGATAGGAAGTCAGAAAGGGATCTAACACAAAATGTGTGAATTCTGAACTTATTTTCTTCAAGCATAATCTACAAAATACTTTGTGGAGATTATCTTTTTTTCACTTGCTTGAAATTCAGCAAATCTAATGGAGATTATTTAAAATGTCAGATATGGTGACAGCCAAAGTCCTAAGCTAACGGGCATAATGGCAGCGCTGAGGGGTGGCACAAGCTGCTTCAGGATGCCATAAGACCTGGGTATTTTAGGGTTTTCTGTCTCAAAAACATTCTAACAGCATGCCCAAGCCTTCGTTTTTCTCACCTGCGAAATGGAAATTATAGTACCTGCCTCTGTGTTGTGTGTATTAAGTGTTCATGTATGTAAAGGACCTAACATGACATGTAGCAGATACTCAATAAATGCGGGTATAGATATCCATATGTCTCCAAACCCACCATACAATGAAAATGTAACCAAAGACTCAGAGAGTGGGGGAGAAGAGGGGTCCCCATGGCTACGGCTGAGGGTCTGGCAGGGGCCCACTAAAGATCTGGGTAGAGCCAGAACTGTCATGGGACCAGAAGTTAGCCTTCCTTGTGGAGGCCATACCTGGAATTTACAGGGAACTACTGCAGGCTTGTACCCTGAAACAAAATAGAGCTAGTCTCACAAAGGCTCAAAGCTATGAAAGTCACCCTGCTGTAGCTACCCACTGAACGGTGAACACATACCGGTTTAGGGATGAAGTGGAAGTTTGAGAGGGCATCCAATTTTAGGAAGAGGGAATCCATCATCTTCTGAATTCCTACATGGTCTGGATTTTCTTCTGCTGCTGTTTCTTGCTTAGGAAATAAGTTCAACAGCCTCAAACTAAGCGGTTTGATATATACCACAGGATAAAACTCTAAAGGCCAATGAGGGTGTTCACCAATTTCTCACCACCACTAATTAAAATTTCACTGGCTTTTCAATTAAATTTAATTCTTACTAACCTGATCTCTTATCCTCTGTTTAATGATACCTTCCAGTTGAAGGGTGTTTCCTCTGTAATCTCAGGTGCTAAAGGAAATACCACATGTGGTCATGAGGTAGAGAGCCACGAAACCACTGAGTTTCACACTGTAGTCCTTAGACCCTCAGCATCAGCAACACGTGGGAACTTGTTAGAAATCAAACTCCTGGGCCAGCCCCACATCTCCTGAATCAGAAAGTGGGGACGAGGGACAGGTATCTGTGCTTTAAGAAGCCTTGAGATGCTCCCTGAAGTTCGAAAACCTCAGAACTAGAAGACATTTGGCAGTGTTAATACTTTATCCAAGGTACCTAGGGACTCTTCCCCTCTTTTCCATTGTCTCTTACGTTGAAATTAAGTGAGAGCTCATTTTGATTTAATGGGTACAAGAAAGAAGGCAATGAGATGACCAGGGTTTCAGGTTGGAGTTCAAAATTTAATCAGTGGTCAGGAAAGGATGCAAACTTTCTAAACAGATTACAAGAGAGCTGTTATAAGCTAAACATTAGGTATCATTAGTGTATTGATGTTAAATTTTGGGAGTGGATTAATGGAATTGTGCTTATACAGGACAATGTCCTAGTTCTTAGAAGATATCTGCAAAAGTACTTCAAAGTGAAATGCTATGATACTGGCAACTTAACCTGGAAAGGATTCAGGGGAAAGGGGCACATATGCAGTCCTGCATACATGGAGGAGAGGAAACAAATATGACAAAACGTTAATTGGTGAATCCAGTTGAATAGCATGCAAATGTTCACCGTATTATTTTTTCAACTTTTCGTTGTCTGCAAGTCTTTAAAATAAAAAGTTGAGGGAAAAGAAACATCACCCCAAATCTTCCTATTAAATGAAACCATAGAAAAAGCCCAGAAGTGAACACTTTGCAGAGGCTGGCACCGTATCCATCCAGACGGCATGGTCAAAGGGCAGGGTCTCCTCCAGGAGGCTGTTCTCTGGCCGCTTCTCTGCTGTCACTTCTCCCGAAGCTGCTGAGCTTTCTTCTAACAACTCTTTTTCTAAAGATGCAATTTTTTCATTTATCCAAGAAACACAGAAAACAGATACATTTAGAAAAGAAAATTACACTTATACTTGTGTAAAAGCAAAAAAATACTTTAAAAAGTGGAGAAGCAAGAAATGTAGCATTCTACAATTCTGTTCTGTTCTTACCATCTTGTTCTGCTGCCAATGACTTCCTATTCCTGCTGCCTATGGTGGGGTGAACTGCAAATGATTTCTTTTCCTTACTGATTTAAAATGTCATGTTTATAGTATACTAAACTCGCCCAGAAGCATTTGGGTTTATTTCTGGGCTCTATTCTATTCAAGTGATCTATTTATTCAAAAGCCACTATCAGTTTTGATTATTAGCACATCTTAAAATAATTATTTGATCGGCCAGGCGTGGTGGCTCAAGCCTGTAATCCCAGCACTGTGGGAGGCCGAGGCGGGTGGATCACGAGGTCAAGAGATCGAGACCATCCTGGTCAACATGGTGAAACCCCGTCTCTACTAAAAATACAAAAAATCAGCTGGGCATGGTGGCGCGGTGCCTGTAATCCCAGCGACTCAGGAGGCTGAGGCAGGACAATTGCCTGAACCCGGGAGGCGGAGGTTGCGGTGAGCCAAGATCGTGCCATTGCACTCCAGCCTGGGTAACAAGAGCGAAACTCTGTCTCAAAAAATAATAATAATTATTATTATTATTATTTGATTACGATATTAGCATTTGATGGAGCCTGACACTTTTGACTCTAAACTCAAATTCTTATTATCTCTAACTTCTTTTTTTTTTTTTTT